AGGTATATGACATAATGCATGGTATGGAGAAAGTAGAAAGGTTATTCTACCTTTCTAAAAATGCCCAATGAAGGAATCCATCCAGTGAAGTTGATAAGAAAGAAATTTAGAAACTAGATTAAAAAGTACCTTGTTATGGAATTCCCTTATAGAACATGTAGTGATGAATGACTTTAACGCCAGGGGGCATGGGAGGTGGAACTGAAGGATAAATTAAGGAAGATTGAGTGATTGCTATGGAAAACAAAATGCAGGACTGAAAATGGTATTTATTCTTATCTTTTTAATTTAATTTACACTACCAACCTCCTAGTGAACACCTGGCTTTTCAGGGCAATATGAGGAATAACAACTTGTTGACTTAGCAACAGACAAGTGTTTTGCTGCCTTCTGCAGAAGATGAAGCGGTGCGCCTGTCACTTTCAAAATAACAATCTGGACTGACAATTGAAGCAGCTATGTGTTCTAGAGACTTTAGTAAACTGTTTAGTTAGATTAGGTTAGTAGGTGCAGGACTGAGGGAGATGTACAGTTCTGTTATCCAATCCAGAAGATGACCACCTGGGCTCAGGGCCACAGATGTAGAATGCTGTGATATTTGCTTCCTGAGGCACTTGCCTTGCTCTCCAATAACAAGCCTTGCTCTACTGAAAGCCTGGGACTAATTTAGTTCTCATTTATGTAAATAGTTGGCTTCTGTTCCATCAGATACAGGACGAGAAACATCTCCACAATAAATGGTTTCAGCATCAGCAAGCACTTTTGCTTGATTGCCTAGAAAGAATAGCCTGCAGTAATTTTTTTCAAGTTAACATAAAAGAATTCCATTTTGGTTTTGATGTAATCAAGATGCCACACTTCATGCTGTTGAAAGAGAAACAGTTTTTAGCAAACGAAGTAAATTTCCTTGGGTTGTCTCAAGATTGAGAGCAACACATAACATTCTAAATAACAGGCTCCTCAATCAAATGGAATGTCAATATTCAACTGAAAAAATATGCAGTGATTATATAAATTTTAACACTATTGTAAGAATACAGTTGACTGCAATCTTAGAAATAAACTGTTTAGATTTACTCCTATGCCAGTATGACTCAAAATAATTTGCTGCCTGAGGCAAAAGGACATCTTTTCCCACACTCACTCTTTCCATAAAAAGAAGCAAACATTGGCAAATTCTAGGCTTTCCACGTAGACATGAAGATGCAAATCAGTGCAAAGAATAAAGAATCAACAAAATATGAACTTTGTTAAGATGACAACAGAATCAAACTTATTCTGTTCAGTACCTACCTTAAAAAAAAGAGATGAGATTTTCATCTGTTTTTGTTAAGGCAGTTTTTATGTGCAAGTCCCATGCAAATAAATTAGATTGTTTACCTGATACCAAAATTCCAGCTAGATGGGCCATCTGTCCAATCCAGCAATCAATTTCTTGATGATCATATATCTATAATCTAATGGACAACGGAACCCAAAAGACAGGCAGCTTGTGAGCTAGATGATAATATGAAGTTTGATAGTCTCATCTTTGAGTAGCTCACACACTACTCCCATGAGGCACACACTACAATCTAAGTTGTAGTAATGTAGCAGACAACTAATATAATGTTGCAATATTCTTACATTTGAAATTTGCAATGACCTCATATACTGTATTTTTCCTAGCAAAGGAAAAGAACACAACAAAACAAACCTGTGACCATTATGAGCGATGGGAAAATGGGAGAGTCCCTGAACACAGAGGAGAGATTGATAGCAGCTTACAAAGGCTCAGTTGCTTGCAAACCATCTCATATCAGGGCAAAGGTTGCAATTCTACTCCATACTCTTGGAAAGAACCTTATTCTTACAGAAAGCCAAAGAAATTGCTTTCTGTTTTGTCACTGGAAAATGAGTTTCTGAATGGTTTCCTGTGCAAAATAAGATAGTTTGTAGCAGTGGTGAAATCCAAATTTTTTTACTATCAGTTCTGTGGGCGTGGTGTGGCTTGGTGGGCATGGCTTGGTGGGCATGGCAGGGGAATGATACTGCAAAATCCTCATTCCCTCCCCACTCTGGGGCCAGCCAGTGGTGGTAGTTTCCAGTTCTCCAAACTACTCAAAATTTCCGCTACCGGTTCTCCAAACTGCTCAAAATTTCCACTACCGGTTCTCCAGAACCTGCTGGATTTCACCCCTGGTTTGTAGGATTACTAAATAAAATCCATAGAACTGTTTGTTATTGGTGGCAATGTGCAAGATTTCACTGTTTAAATCTGAATGCAATCATAACTTTTGTATGAATGGATTAAAAATGGGAATGCAGTCACTTTTTCATTTACATTTCATAAAATGCAAATAGGCAGATACTTCCATTTATGCAGTATGATGAATTGTGTTTAAATAGAACAAGGATAATATCTGCTTATGAAAGAATCACTGAGTTGGAATGAACTGCACAATTGATAGAGGATCAACTGAAAATAAGTGAGATCAGGATTATAATACCATTTCCAATTTACAGACATACTGTATGTTATCAAAACATCTGATTAAGAGGTTATAAGCATCAAGTTATTCCAGCTGAACATTAGAATTTTGAACATAAATATAACATAGCCAGACTCAAAAATCTCTACGTTGTTCTATCCTTCTGTAATCAGTTTCCTAGTCTTGTAAGGAAGTCATTGTGGTATCTTAAAGACAAACAAATTTATTATGGATCTAGATTTTGTCGAACACCTGAAAGCTGTGTCATAACAAATGCTATTGTCTTTACATTGCCCCTCCACCCCCAAAAATCCCTTTTGTTTTTCCTGGTGGTGGTGGTGGTGATTAGGTTTTCTTGACCAATCAATTAAAAGCTTGGATTATCCTGGAGGTTTAGGAAAAGGTGAAACTGAAAAGCATAAACATTACTATTCCAGTATTGTGGATATCTACTCTCTTTCCTAATCTACCTCCGTAACTAAATAAACATTGTGGAAAGTTTTAAGGATTAAAATTTCCCAGAGGCAGCTTTCCATTAATCTTTCCACTAAGGCTTGTACAAAACTGTCAGTTTAAAGCATCATGGATTAATCACTAAACTGAGTATCTTGTGTAACCATGGAACCTATTGGTTAACTGAAATGTTGCATATGTTTTCCTCATTTCCTTTGCTTATTTTCCTATTGACAATCTTTAATTCACAAGCTCTTTGAATTAACCACTGTACTCTCATTCTCGGAAAAAGTGCTATGTAAATAGACACCATTATACTCATAATTCCACAAACTCCCTGCCAGGTGGCCTCATTGTCCATGCACTATATGATTGGAATGATCTTGCTATTACATAATGGCAGCACCTTGTGGAATAGTAGCAGGTAGCTGTTTTGACTTTCTTCAATCTCTGAAAGATAATTTATATGCAGAAAAAGTGAATTAGAAGTTAACAGAAGTCTGAACTGGAAGAAATGGGTCTTTTAAAATCTGTCCAGATGGTTTTACCAGTAGTATCAAAGAACTTCAGATCTTGGAAGTCAAGTGACAATCAAAAATGCAGCAAATGATAAATGATGGAACACTAAACATGTCTGGATTGTTGTTATTTTGCACTTTATTTTTTACTTTTATAAAAAATGGCATAATCAGGTGCAGTTGATATGTACCCAAATATAAACATCCATTTTATTATTGGCACTGTATCTCGTATCTTTTCCTATGATAAAATAGTGCTTATAATTAAGCAAATGGGTTTAGATTCAGGGGAGCAGAACCAATTCAATGAAAGCAATACATAGAATTTCGTCTTTAGGAGGAATATTACTGTAAGATAAATGAATCACAAATTCTGAATCTCATAAAGTGGTTAAGGTGATGGACAAGAAAACAGGAAAGGAACTAGTCCTCCCTCATCATGAACACCAGCTGAAAAACTTTTGGCTGCTCACTGTCCTTCGGCCAAATCCATTTTACAGGGTTGTTGTTGAGGAAAAATAGGAGATGGAGCACTGGAAGGATACCTTGAGTTGTGCAAAGGAAGACAGGATATAAATCTATTAATAAATAATGAATAAATATATACCTTTTCAGAGACATTATCTTCTATCCTTCATAGCGTGTGGGATGGATAGGAAAATCTAAGGACTTCCTCTTTGTTGCTTTGCTCATCTATGGCTATGCAGTCCACACACACCATTCAATGGATTTCTCTATTAGTGGGCACAAGCCAAAAGAATAAAGGCAGCTGAAACAAGAAGCTGATAGTGGATTTTATTTATTAGATTTTTATTCCACCTTTATTACTTTGTAGATAACTCAAGGCTAACATACATAATACTACAGGTAGTCCTCGACTTACAGTTCTTTTAGTGACCGTTCAATGTTACAACGGCACTGAAAATTTATGACTTTTTCAGTTACCACCTTTCCAACATCCCCATGATCATGTGATCAAAATCCAGATGCATGGCAACTGGTTCAGATTTATGACCGTTGCTGTGTTCCAAGGTCACGCAATTCCCTTTTGCAACCTCCTGACAAGCAAAGTCAACGGGAAGCCAGATTCACTTAATAACCAGGTTACCAACTAATCAAAACTGCAGTGATTCACTTAACAACTGTGGCAAGCAAGGTCGTAAAATGGGGCAAAATTAACTAATGCCTCTATTAAGAACAGAAATTTTGGGCTCAATTGTGGTTGTAAGTCAAGAGCTACCTGTACTACAAAACAGTGCAACAGACGATGGGCTGCTTAGAGTCTGCTAGAAATGTAATTTCTTTGTAGCCCGAACAGCAAAAAAAAAACTTCACCGCTTTCTGAAAGGACAGCAGTTGACTTGTTGATCTAGGCAGCCTCGTCTTACGTCAGAAAAGCCCGCTCTCCCTCTGCGACTCGCTTAGCAGAGCCCCCGATTTGATACCCTCCAGATGTCTCGGCCGCCCACTGGGACGGGACTGACGGGAGAGCGTGGCGGGACTCGGTCCGTTGCCCCTTCAATCCCGCCCTCTTCTTCTCACTTCCTCGCTTCCCTCCCCCCCGGATAATATAGGTTGATCAAAAGCAGCGGCCGCGCTTGCTGGACCCTTTTGCCAGGATGCTGCTATTTTAATGTGGATTTTCTGCCTCCCCCGACGCTCCCCCCTCCCTCTCCCGGTGCTTGTTTCAGTCAACCCATGGAGAACCGATCCTGAAGGCGCGGAACATTTATCTGGGCATCCCGACGGTGCTGAGCCAATCCGTTCAAGCGCGGCGTGTGAGCGTGTGTGTCTCTGCGTGTTCCTTTTAGCGGGATCTGTGAGGGCAAAACAGCTCGTACGAGCTTCCAGCCCTTTACGGCGACGAACTGATTTGTTGTTGCTGTTGTTGTCTCTTCCCAACCGGAGTCGGTGAGAACCTTCTGGCGGGTCCTTCCCGCGTCTCCTTCGTTTGGCTCCCAGCCTAGGCGAAGAAAGGAGGGTGGGGGGGTGGGAAACAGGGACCCTCGGAGAAGAGATGCCAGGGGCGGCTGAACACCCCGATTTCGCCCCCTCCCTGGTGGGACAGGAGGCCTGGCGGGGCAGTTCGTGAGGGATGGCCTCCGCGGCGCCATGGAGTGGCAATTCAACTTGCTCCTCTACCTCGCGCTTTTCTTCCTTCTGCTCTTCCTGCTTGTCCTGCTCCTCTTCGGGGTCATTAAGCAGCTGAAGAATTCCGTCGCCAGCACCGGCGCCCTCCAACCCGGCCGCCCCTCTTTGAGAGAGCCCTGGGGCTTCTGCCGCGAGCAAACCCTGTGAGGCGAGGCGAGACGAGACGCCCCCGCCTGGATTAAAAGGCGAAGTACGCCGCGACTTCCAAAGAGCAGCCGCAGGTGCGTCTCGAGGGGTTGAAGTTGATATTGGGAGTTGTGATGTGTGGATCCAGTGAGTCTTTGGGCTGGGAAATGAGTAATTTCAAAGCCTGCTTCAGCTACAACAGCCTCAACCTTGCACTCTTCAATTCAGTTGGAGAGATCCTTGCTCAGAAGATCCAGAACGGTCTTCCTAAATCTTCTGGTTTTAACTTCCAGACTTTGCTTTGAGGAAGCTGCCCTAAATTATCACAAAGTAAGTTCCTCTTAGATTTAGGTTCCAGTCTGGCAAATGGGATAAGGTTTAGGGTTCCTTAATTATTGGAATTCTTAAATTTGAAAAGGCTTGATAAGTCATAAATAGAAGCAATTCTACTTACAATAAAAAGAAACTTTATATCAACTCCAGAGCCATTCTTTAATTTCTTCAGTTAAATTGGCTTTCATAACTTCTTTTTTTTGGGGGGGGTGTCTTTAAATTCTGTATATATTGCAGAGCATGCTTATACTGCAACCTACCTAAGGTATCTTTTGGTCAAAATAATATGCATAACCAGCCCCAATATAAATGGTATTAAGTGGTTCAAATTTCGTGAGCAAATCTTTGAAGTTTCAGGTTTACAGAGATACTGAAGTGAACAATAAGTACTCTAAACATCTGTTATATATTTTTTAAAATGCCTCAAATAATTTTTGATCTTATTTTTTCTAATTTTGTTTACTAATTTAAAATCATAATGATCCCTCAAGTCCCTTTAGTATTATTCATATATATCATTTCATTTACTCTGCTCTCAACTTAAATAGATTAATATCTGGGACTTTCATCAATATATTGGTTTATAGCGGGGTGGATAAAAATCAATGATTTTTTTAAAAAAATAAAAAAAATCAGATTTTTTTATTTAAATCAGATTTTTTTTATTTAAATCAAATTTATTTTAATAAAAAACTTTTGGGGTAAAAATCTATCATAAGATAGTTTTCTATTTAAGATACATAAATAATTTAGTTTATTCAGCATGAAATGGACCTTAGTTATGTAGCATGAGGCTGTATATTCTGCAACACTGGGACTATCGGTGAGTCAACAGTGGGTCAAAGGAGTAGCAGAGATGACAGTTGCTCTTTAAAAAATATGATTTAAATCGAGTTAATTTAAATCAAGCCTTTTTACTAGTGATTTAAATCATGATTTAAATTGTGATTTAAATCAACTCGATTTAAATCAAATCTACCCTGGTTTATAGTTTTGACTAGCCAGGAATTGTGCATCTGTATAGAGACATAAAAATAGGAAGATATTCTTTTGGCTATTGGTAACTCCATTGCATTGCTTTTTCCCATAAGTATGAAGGAATCTGCAATCTTATGGGAATGTCTGGGGAATTCTGGAAATTGAAGTCCTCAAGTCTTAAAGTTGCTAAGGACCTCTGGAATACTATAAAAAGAACAATCTCAGCAGACACTATAATGATTCCATTGAACCAAGATGTGACTTTAGAGTTCAGCTTTAAACCTTGCAGTGATGGCTTATACAACAAAATGTGAAAAGAACAATTAAGATGTTTTTGAGTAAATACAAACTGCTAGTCACATGAGATAATTAATTACACAATACTATCAGTTTAATTTTGGCTTAGATCTATATTTATTTATTTATTTATTTATTTTATTTTATTTTATTTTTATACCGCCCTTCTCCAGCAGGACTCAGGGCTGCTGGAGAATATATATAAGCAAGGTGTGAATCCTATCATGGCATGAACTTTCTTAGCATTGAAAAATAAAACTGCCTTTCTTCAAACTGCTAAGATTGGAGATCATATTAGCTATCCAGTTTAACCTGGTAAGCAATGGTCTTGTTTACTTCTTAACTATTCCCATAGTTATAAAATATGCTGGATGAATCTAAGGCATTATATCCCATGGAAGTGAATGAGAAACTTCAATCCTGACTCAGCCCCAAAGATTTCAGTGGGACTACCAGTATGAATGCCTTGTTCTAATTCTCATCCAATATCTTACTCCAGTCTGATGGACTCTTAGCTTTCCACCCAGTTGTCAGTAGATCTCTTTATTCAAATGAAATTTTATGAAATAGACACAAAATAGACACTTTAGAAATGTTGTTGGGCAATTTGGGGTCCAAATGATTTCACATAATCTGTAAGGTTTATGCTCCATCAAGTTTCATGGTAAAGGGAAGAAATCTGTACATGTCTACAGGTTTCTTTTCATTGGCTTTGGCACTAATGTTTTAATGATACCTGGCTTTGCCTTTAGACTATTAAACCTTTTGGCTTTAATTAACCTTTTTTATTTCTTGGGGAGGATAGCATTGTTGTTCCTTTGTACTTATGGTTATTTTTAAAATATATGTGTGTCTTTATTTAGACAGCTTAATTTGTCTTCTAGCAGGATCATCATCATCATCCCAAAGGATACCTGTGACAATGAGCCATTTGGAATAGGTTGGAGATTAATTGGCGGAGGTTAATTGGCATTTGATAGAGAAATTATCCACATGGTTAAATAGTTTCATTTTGTATACTGTAAACAGCTCCTGATTTTTTAATACAGAAGTTAATGATTACATTATTTGTATGTGTGTGATGGAGTGTATGTGTAGGGAGGCTTCTTACCAGGTCCTAGCAATAATTGCAGTAGCTGTGTTCTGAGAGTTGTAATTTAGATTTATTTATTTATTTATTTATTTGTCGAGTACGTATTAGATAATATATATCCACGTATAAGCATGAATTGAATACATAAAATGAATACAATTAAAGGAAACATTAGGACAGGGACAATAGCTGGTGCTCTTATGCACATCCCTTACAGACCTCTTAGGAATGGGGTGAGGTCAACAGTAGCCAGTCTAAGGTTACAATTTTGGGGGTTTTGGGATGAAACCACAGAGTCAGGTAGTGTATTCCAGGCATTGACCACTCTGTTGCTGAAGTCATATTTTCTGCAGTCGAGTTTAGAGCGGTTCACTTTAAGTTTTGTATCTATTGTGTGCTCATGTATTGTGGTTGAAGCTGAAGTAGTCATTGACAGGTAGGACATTGTAGCAGATGAGTTTATGAGCTATGCTTAGGTCATACCGAATGCAGTGTAGTTCTAAATTTTCTAAGCCCAAAATTTCAAGTTTGGTGGCATAAGGTATTTTGTTGCGAGTGGAGGACTGGAGGACTCTTGTGAAATATTTCTGGATACGTTCAATTGTATTAATGTCCGATATGCAGTGCAGGTTCTAGACAGATGAGCTGTATTCGAGAATTGGTCTAGCAAATGTTTGATATGCTCTGCTTAGTAGTGTTATATTACTGAAGAAGGAGCTACTCAAGATTAGGTTTACAACCCTTAATGCCTTTTTGGCAATGTTTACAGTGGGTTTTGGCACTTAGATGATTTGATATGAGTACATAAGATGCTCAATTAGCCACCTAATTTTGGGGGGTGGGTGAGAAATGTCTTTAGGTCAGTTTTTGATTCCTAGCTGTTGCCTGGACTAGTTTTCTTGACAAAGTTTGTGGAAGTGGTTTGGCCTTGACTGCTTCCTAGACCTGAGAAAGAGAGTGACTGGCCCAAGGTCCACCCAGCTGGCTTTGTACCTAAGGTGAAATTAAAACCTACAGTCTCCTGGTTTCTAGCCTGGTGCCTCAACCACTACACAAATCTGTCTCTCCTTCACCTAAATTTCTCAGGTCCAAATGTGATTCAGTTAGTTTAATGAGAAGTCTCCTATGTGACTGCATCATCCCTCTTATTGTGAGAATTTCACTTAATCGTAGATGTATATGATGGTACAATGCTACCAACAGCAAAAACAACCTTATCTCTACATGTAGTGGATTTGGTTTTAATAGTTGGCTTGAATAAGTGATACATTTATCAAGGAATTCTTGTTTATCTCACCTCAAAGACATTGAGTTTTTACATAGCCCAGCAATTCCATCCATAAGTGCCTTTTTTTGCATGTTATCTCAGGCCTTCTAATCTATTTCTTCCTAGCCTAGTAGAATGTAAGGAAGATGACTTCCTGGAAAATTCTAGGATTTGGAGTTCACACCTCTGGAAGCTGCCAAGTTTGAGAAACCTTGTCAGCCTGTTCAGCATGTACCAAATGTTGTGGAATTCTTCTTTATTGAAATGCACTTATCAAGAATTAGCATATGTCTGGGCCAACTAAGCTATAGCCTCTGTTGACTTTATCATTCCTTGTCACTTTTTATCAATTTTTGCCATTTTACCATCTCTTCCTTATGCCAACCTACACTATTGTGAGTCAATTTGCCTTTCTGTTACTGTATACCAGAGGTCTTCAAACTTGGCAGCTTTAAGACTTGTGGACTTCAACTCCCAGAATTGTCCAGCCAGCATAGTATAGCTGGCTGGAGAATTCTGGGAGTTGAAGTCCACAAGTCTTAAAGCTGCCAACTTTGAAGACCTTTGCTCTATACAATGAGTCAAACTAATTGTCCTTGCTATAAAGTAATAAAAGTTATTGTGGACATTAAGAAAATCTTAGAATTATATGAGTTTAATGCTACCTGACTAAGGTAATTCCAAATACCTATTCTCATGAGATCCAAATATTTACAAGTCTTGGACTATATTTTGGATCTTATTCAGTAGGGATATCGTATTATGATCTCTCATTTCAGGATTGTAACAAAGCAGGACTTGGAAGATATGAAAAACACTAGTTTGAAACTGATTTATGATTTATTTGAACAATCCCAGGTTCAAAAGTTACATTCACCTGGTACCACTTGCTTGGGCTGCAGTTTCCATCTTGCCTAATTTATTAAGCATACATCCCAGGTTTAAAACATTAGACACTATTGTCCTATCACTATCCTTTCCCTATTTAATTTGTTTAAATACCTGTGAAGCAGGAGTAAAAAGCTGTTTGCATATCACTTATTCACAATGTGGTTAATAACTTACAATAATAACTTACAATAAATACGA